GCCTTAGCGTAGTTTACCGGCCTTATAAACGAAGTGTCCAGATTATCTTGACGATACTGAGACACCATGGGCTTGATGCTCGCATCTAGCCCCTCGATGAACATAGTCATCTGCTCTTCCATTGAATAGACATTTCCACATCTATTACTCGCGTCTGTTAGACGGATGTAGAATTCAATCTCGTCTTCAGACGGTCTCTGCTGAACTTTTCGTAACGCGAGAACGGCTTGGCGGATCGCCTCATCGGTAGCGAAACTTCTCAATAACTACTGTACGGCCTCCGGCCAGACTGACACCTTCCCATGATGGAACCCGCCCGTCTGTGACACAGAAGTGTACTGTCTCAAGGCGATGCCTCCAAGGAACTCGGGCAGCAAGCGAATTGCTTGCCCCTCGTTCATTGCTTGAGTACCAAATTCCTGAACTAACTTGGCCAAAAAATCCAACACCGGGACCTCGTCTTCTCCAGAAAACGTGTTTTCCCTCTTCACCTTCGGTGGTATGTCTCTCCTAATTTTTCGCAACGGCGGTCCGCCGAGAACTCGACAAATACGCCTGCGGGTTTCTCAGACGGTACGTCCGGTACGATAAACTTTTTCTTGAAGAGGTAGTTTGTCGGATTCAACTCGTCCAACTCCTCCCAACGTGACCCGCGTCGCGTTGCGACGTCCTCTGGCTCAGCGTCCTTGTCTCTCCGCGAGGCGGACGAAGTGATTCTGCCCCGTCTGGAGGTAATTTTCTTGCCCTGCGAAATTCCGTTTCCTTCCTCTAAACGATGTTCGGAATCGCCGGCATGGTTCGACGAACCGTCGTCACCATCTTCGGAAAGACCATTTGACTAGGTCATTGAGTCTTGGTCCTCCGGCTTGTCACTACAATGACTCTTGCTCCTGCGTCGCAGATTCTTCTTCGAAGTCTTCGACTTGGAACTCCGCTGTACAGCGCCCTTGTCCTTCTTCGATCGACGGTCGCCTTCTCGACCCGAAGGGAGCGGCTCTTGACCGGCGGCCTGTTCAAGGTCCTTGAGACGATGAGCGGCGCGGTCAAACCTGTCGTCGATATTGCTTCTAAATTTTCCTAAGGACTCCAAAGCTTGATTCGCGTCCCGCCTTGCGTTCTTGACTGAAAGTTTCAAAGAAGCTAGGACCTCCGGCTCCAGACCGTCGGTCGCATCACCAACCTCCTTCTCGACGAGATCCACTCGAGCCGATAGCTCTCCTAAAACGATGTGAACTCGGATGCTTGCAACTCCAGTTGCTTCCGGACGAGGGCTAATTCAGCCTCGAAATTTTTCGTCATCTCTTGGCGAATTTCCTCGCCCATCTTCTCGAACCTGTAGGATAGGTTATCCTTGTCGGCTTCAATCCCCGTTGGGGATTCTTGACCTTCGGGATCCGTGGCCGTATTGGCCTGGCTTCGGCTGCGAGGACCTCGCGGGATCCTCGACGCCCTTGCCGATCCGATTCTGCTGGCCCCGGGACCGCCGTCCCCGGGGGGGCTTGTCGTCATGGTTCGTTTCCAAAAAAGGACCTAACTTAACACAAAAAATAGAGAACGCTACAGCACCTAAATAAACGTACGTCGCAGAGACCACTGATGTAGTCCGTTTCCACTTACGTAGTTTCTAGGTCGGGTCCCCTGTACGCAAATTCTAGGTCGGGCGACAAGTTGTGTAGTGCGTCTCCAGACCGGGACTTTCGTAGGCAAAATTCTTGACCAGGTCTCCTGTACACCAAAACATTCTAGGTCAGGAGACCACTTATGTAGTGCAATGCGCCTGTCAGGCAGAGACCGCGGTCCGATGGTCCAGCAAAAACAACAACAGCAACAAAAAGAAGAACTGCCGACGGCACAGCGCTACGGAGTGTCCGACTCTCCCTTCTCCGTTTAAACGAGCTTGCGACTCGTAGTAGCTCAGATCCCTGATAGGGGGGACACAGAGAAACAGCCCGGCCCGGGATCGATGTGGTAGAGACTTGGGAAGAGAAATGCTCGACGAGTGTGGGGTGGGGCGTGTACTTAGGTACCCTGGTTCCACTGGGTTGTAAGGCCAATGCTCGTTGAGCTTCTTCGACACGTTGTAACGCGACAAGGCCTTCGACGGGGGCGTCGCAACGCAGCCCGACGGGATGAAATGAAAGTAGCCGTGCTACACCAACTGTGCCGCCCGATGGCTCGAAACACCTACACCGGTTCGGTCGCAAACGAGGCCGATGGCACCAAAACAAGATAAGGGAAAATAAGTAAAATTAGAGATAGAAAAGGATAGGGAAATAAAGGAAAAGGAAAGGGAACCCCCGAGTGCAAAGGATAAAGTAATCTGTAGTTAAAGGGAATGTCTTGCAAAAGACGGACTTCGACCAAGGCGTTATCAGACTCTGGCAACTCGGGTTACCTTTACTGACTTGGTGGTCAGTGGGCTAGGGTATATATCGCCCCGCCGGAGCCACTACAGTAGCTCGCGGCGCTAGATCCTAGATCTAATCTAATGTCAGCAAAACTAATGCCAAGCCTAGAGAATAGGCTACCAATTTCATTATTTGCTGCCTCCGCATTTCCACAGATTAGCTAGCCAAACGTCAACCCAGACGAAGCGTTTGCTAGCTCCGCGATGACATTGTACTTTCCGACATGCTTCTGAAGAGCGGCCTTTTTGTCGTCGTCTTGCCTCCCTTCTTACGACGAGGCCTCCTCTGGCCTCCGACGAGCGGCGGAATGGTACCTATCCCGTGTCCTAACCCTGCTGTTGTAGGTGGGTTGTGAAGGTGTGGGATCTCAGCCTTGTTCTGCGTCCAGCGCTGCTTCGGGAGCACCTCGCCCTCAGCATTAAGCTTGGCGGCAGCCACCATATCTTCTTCTGTTGTCTCGGCAGTGTAGCTGACCCGCCGCGAGCTCGGGCTATCTTTCGCTACAGGAGCAGGCTTGGTCTGGGACCCACTGCTGTGCAACGGAGCATTGGTGTTCGACCAGCAGCTTTCTTCTCCGCCAAGCTTCCCACAACTTCGACAGCGTGTATCATTGTAAGGATTTGACGGACACCTACTGGCACCATGCCCGACATCCTGACAGAACGAGCCGGTATGCATGTCGAAGGACAACTGGCCCGCATTATTCATTTTCATCAAAAGAGAGAGCTTGGCGTACTTGTCCACCAGCATTTCTACTTTCTCCTCGACATTATTTGAACGTTGCAAATGGTCAGGGCGGTGTAGATTGCTTTTCAGTGGTATATTTCGTGGTTGGGACATCAATTGTACAGCAACGAATGCCTTGAATCCACCATTGAAGTCTTTGATTGCTTTGCGAAGCACTTAATACGTGCCTGGTGCCCTTTAAAATACGAAATGAGCGACATCCGCGTGTCCCATGACTGCGTTTTGGAGCAGACCAAACCAAACCTAGCCTCGGTGTTAAATGCTTCCTTGTCGAAGCAGCGGTCCATATCGTTCAGCGAGCCCAACGGATCGCCTTGATTAAGAAGAATGGAGACTGCTCGACGGATATGCTCTTCCGGTCCAGCAACCGGTTGGAAGCAGTCTATTATGGCCTTCGTAACCGCGGGATAGTCACCAGCCTCGTCACTCAGCTTGCTATTACGACTGTAGATGTCTTAGTAGAACTCAAAGGCGTCCCCTTGTAAGTAGCGGAACAGTTCTCCAGCCTCTTCTTCGTTAGATTTATATCGCATCACGACATTCTCATAGACAAAGAAGAACGTAGCAACATCTGCTTTGTGCTTACCATCAAACATCAGTCTTGGGGGACCCGCCTGACTGTCGGCGTCGGCCCTCCACAAGAGTACCATGTTGGTTTGTAAAACGGGATGCGTCGTCCCCGTGTCTTACCGGTCTGCGTTTTTTTCTTTCCCCCCGTCTCCGGGAGAACCGACAACCGCGGCCTTTATAAAGGGGGGTTGCTGGTGTTGTCGGACAGTGACAAAAAAATCGGACATGCAAAATATTTTGAAAAATATCTCCGACACGGGCCAAGGAGCACCGCCGCGCGTAACGGCGCCAGATAGTGCGCCGTATATCAGAACGACGTGGTTGAAATTAAAGAAAAAATATCTCAATCGATTGCTTACGGCTTTCTACGTATAAGTGTGCAACAACCCAAAAATACAAAATAGGCGGACTTTTCTATTTTTTATTTATTTGCTTGGATGTCCGATCTTAGTGCTCGGTTGAGGTGCAAAAGTGTCCGCGCGCTTCAATTTCACTCCTCTTCTGTGTCCGTGGTTGTTTTCGCCAAGTCCCAGTGGACGACACTGACAGGCTGAGAGTGTCCCCGTCGCAAAACATAAAAAATGGTGATTGCTTGACAATTACAAGTACTTTTTCCTTTTAATATTGAGGTTTTTGTCCGACGTCTCCAGCACCCCCCCTTTACTCCCTTTGCGCAGTGTCTACAATTATTAAATTAAATTCCCAATTACTTTCAATGGTCCTGAACACGTGTCACACACCCCTTTACGTGTACGCAAGGGAACACGAATGTACATAATGTACCCAATTGTACATTTTCCATGCATGATCAAAAAAATGCACGCAGCGTGTATGGGCCCTCCATCCTTTGTTGGCACTGACATCAACTCGATGTGTTAATGTCAATGTGATTCCCAAAGCCATAGAATCAGAAATGGTAGCGAGGTTTCAAACGCTTGAGGACCCAGGTACTGCACTCTACATTGCAGTTTTGAACGACATTTGCACCACGCAGCTACGCGGAGAGAGGAACATGCATTGAGAGCAGATGCCTTCTACTTCATTCCGTTTACTGCATCTACTGCACATATTTACCGTACGATATGTCAGCACACTCTCGATACACATAGAAGTCCAATGACAATCTATGAGCTAGTGCTGGAGATGCAAAAGCCGCCGGAGACGGCGACGTGTTGACTAAAAATCTGCAAAAGTCCGGAAATGGAGCGACGCATTGACTGCATCCGCTGAAGACGACAGCACGTCACTGGAAGAATACTTGAGGGCTGGGTGAGGCGATAAAAAATGCTAACATTTGTACTGAACACGGTTAAGATAAATGAGCCCCATGCCTAATTCGTTTCCTCATCTTTGCTGAGCGCAGAGTAAGAAGAAGCACCAGAAGACAGCTGCGACTGTTTGTATAAGCCAAACACGGACGATAGCGCAAGGAAGATGAGTAAAGTAGGGGTGAAGGCCTGTTCGAGACTCAGCAGTACGGCCTCTACGTTGTCAGGAATCTCCTTTCCGGAAGCCTTGAAAAAGGCCTCGCTGGAGATCGCAAGCCCCGACGCTAAAAAGGCGATGAGCATGGTTCCCAATGCGACGACGAGCACTCGTTCGGCAGCATTTAATGCCTCAACGCCAAAGGCTCCTGCGAGTCGCTGGTAAGCGGATGGCGGGGGCTGATTCTCAGGGTCAGACGAGGAAGTCGAGTTAAATTTGCGGTCGAGGTCGTCGCCGGGGCGCGGGGCGCGGATTCCGTACTTGGAAGCCAAGCCCTCAATGCGTTCCTCGCTCTCTTTTGAGAGTTGGCTTTTCTTTGGGCCGGGCTTCCGCTTGCCCTTCCGCATGGTGACGCATACTCGTGCGGTGCGTCGTTGCCCGGTTGGCAGGAGGAGGGCTGGGCCGCAGAAAGCCATTGCACTTTGGGGGATCATGATGCTAGCTTTGACATGGGCACTGTCCTTACAAAGGGGATCAAGAAATGGAAGAGTGCGGGTTCTTGTTTGGGTCAATGGCGGAGATATCAGGTGGGGTAGCAGAACGCATAAAACGGCGAGGTGAAGGAACGCGTGGCGAGGCGAGGTGCGTTACTGGCTGTCGTCCGTTTGACTTCTGCGGAAAAGGGCAATTTGATCCACACAGAATTGCATAGCAATGCCCTTGGGAATGGGTACCTTGGGCACGGGTCCGGCCAACAAATCTCACAAAGGGTACAGTACAGCATTATTCTTCCACAAGGAAACCTCTCGCCATAGTACCATCCATGTCTATCTCACTCTCAGTCCCCACATCCTACCAAATGATGCGGTGGAAGCTGATTGCTACCCGGTCCCACCCCCATGTCGCTGCGTGTCGGATTGCCCGCCGAGGCTGCAGTTGTAGACGACCAGCACCGCAGACAGGAGCTCCCGAACAACAATAAACAAAGCAGCCTCCCCCACCTACCCCCTTAGCAAGTTCCCGCAATAATGCTCCGCTCCACACGCCACATCACTCGCCACGCAGCGCGAGCGCTCGTTACAATTCGCTACCCAGGAGCTGCCACTGCCCCGTATACTTCCAGCCTCAACCTGGAGCATGCAGAGGCGGTCCCTCCCATGAGCTGCTTCCGAATCATGAATGAGCGCGGAAAGCTGCTCCCGGGCGCTGTCGACTACGGCGCAGAGGTAGTCGGCAAGGAAAAGGCTGTCGATCTCTTCAAATGCATGCTTCGTCTCAACGAAATGGACGTCACACTATTGCAAGCGCAGAGACAGGGAAGGATTGCGTTCTACATGTCGACGTTTGGGGAGGAGGCCGCTGTTATCGGTTCAGCCGCTGCTCTGAGAGATGATGACACCATCTTTGCGCAGTACCGCGAGCATGGAGTTTTGTTGTACAGGGGCATGAACTACGACTTTTTCTGCAACCAGTGCTGCGGAAATGTGCTTGACTCGGCGAAAGGCCGTCAGATGCCCATGCATTTCGGATCTAACGAGAAGCATTTTCATACTATCTCCTCGCCGCTGGCAACCCAAATCCCCCATGCCGTCGGCGCCGCATACTCACTCAAGATGCAGGGTTCCAAACAGGCTGTGGCGGTCTTTTTCGGAGAGGGAGCAGCCAGCGAGGGGGATTTCGCGGCTGCAATCAACATGGCAGCCGTCATGGATCTTGGTGTCTTGTTTCTGTGCCGGAATAATGGGTATGCTATCTCGACGAGAAGCACAGAACAATACCGCGGCGATGGCATTGCAAGACGTGCTGTGGGCTACGGAGTCGCAGCCTTGCGAGTAGACGGCAATGACATTTGGGCAACGATGCGGGCCGTGGAGGAAGCGCGAAAGTTTTCCAAGGAAAACGACAAGCCTGCCTTACTTGAGTTGATGACGTATCGCACATCGCACCACTCGACTTCTGACGACAGTGCGCGATATAGAAGTGAAGACGAGATGAGCATGTACGCGCAATCGGCAAGCCCAATTGACCGCCTCCGCAAATATCTCGTTGCTCGTCAATGGTGGGATGTGGGCGAGGAGGAGGAGTTTAGAAATGAGCAGCGGCAGCAAGTCATCAATGCGCTGACGAAAGCGGAGACCGCACCCAAGCCTGGGGTCGACACTATGTTCGACGATGTTTACGCTTGCAAGCCTGCCCATCTGGTCGCCCAGGAGAAAGAGGTTACAGAACGTCTGCGGAAGTAGACCACACGACTTACTAGGCTGTAGCATTGCAAATATCTGCGTTTCTGAAGGCCATTTAACTGCCACGGGTTCCCACCTATCAACTTTGGGCACGTCCAACCAATTTCGAAGACCTCAACAGCCGACATTCTCCAAGCACGCACTCCTACTTCGAGTAGCATACCACGCACGGTTTACACTGACTCGTTTTTTTTTGTTTTTGTTTGAGCCGCTATCGCCGAGTTGGGGCTTGATTTCAGAGTGAGACAAGAAACATTGCGATTTGCTCGCGTCTTGATACTCTTGAGGAAGGTCCGTGATATCCTAAATGGTGCGAGTCTCAAATTTAAAGCTACGTCTCACTGAACGTCATAAGACAAAGAATTTAGCACTTCATGTAAAAGGCTTTCTATCTGAAATGAGGTGGATCTCGCTCCTGAGGCAACACATTAGTTAGCAGATGGTATTAAAGAGTGACGGTTACAAGAGTCCCTCGTTCGTTCTATGCGCTACCCCCTCCGAAAAGCTTGGCGGCATCAGCGAACTTGCTGTTCACAGCTTCTGCGTCAGCTCCCTCTTTCTCAGACTTCTCCTCTCCGGCAAAGATTTTGGTGGCGCTCTGAAAGCGGTCAACCAAGGGCTCTCTTTCGTCCTGCTTGGCTTTCTCCTGAGCCCCAGACTCAAATCTGCTAGCGATGCTTCCAACTCCCCCTGCCTTTTCCTCTACGACTTTGTCGGAGGGGACCTGTGCCTGTTGTTTCACAGCTTCTCTTTCCTTGTTAGCCGACTTTTTCGCATTCTCAATCTCCCGTTTAAAGGCAGTCACCTTTCCTTCGGCCTTCGGTTTGCCCTCCGCTTCTCGTTTGCCCCACGCATTCGCTGCTGCGGCAAACATGTTGGGCGATTGATCGCTTTGGGCGGTTGTTCCTAGCCCCGCCTTTCCCGAAGCGAAGCGCTTGGTGATCTCGCCAAAACTGGGCCGCTCGTCAGTCACGGAATCTGGCTTTTGAGGCTGCTTCGCGGCAGGTTTGGGCGAAATTTTCTTCTTACGCACGCTTGCATCAGCATCGGCGATTGTGGTGCCAAACTGACTTGCGATGCCTGATACTTTTTCGGAGACTTTCGGTTCTTTGGAATCGCTAGCAGGCGAGGCGTCGAAGCGGGATGCAATGCTGGAAACCGTCGAGGGGGCTTGAGGCGCTTTTGAGGACGGGCCTTCAAAGGCGGAGGCAAGTCCAGCTAAGCGTTTTTGAGACATCTTTGGTTTAGACCGAGAGGCTTGGGAGTAATGGCCTACCTGTAGAGCACGAGTTGGTAATGGCTCGTCAATTGGGAGGAAGGCGAGCAGATTAGGACTGGCGGTAATAACCCTAACGGAAATGGTGTTTACAGACACAGCAGGAGGTGAAAAATGCATTCACAATGCAAGCATTTTCTACCATCGAATCAGCAGGACAGAACGGTACCAGAAAAATCTCTCAAAAATTTGCATTAGTGACGTTTCTTGTCAACACTTGTAAAAGTTTACTGAAGACAAATCCATGCGTCCTCCGTCTAGCCGCCTCCTCAGAAAGTGCTGGCCTTCAATACGTTGTTGAACATCAATACCTTCATCTCCCCAACTGGACAACAAACATGGACCCAGCTGCTGAGCGACGAATAGAAGAGCGGCTTAATGCACATTTTGGCGGCAACGTCCCCGCCGCCTCGTACGACGCCCGAGGCCTTCAGACATGGGGCACTTTCTTTCGGGAAGGGTCGGCGGCTGACAACAAACCCGAGCGACCTCCATCCCCTTACACAGACCTTTTTCTCGAACCTCTTATTCGACAAAGAGAGGCGGCTCAGGCTAGTCATCGTTCTGGTTTAGAGCAAACCAACGAGAAGGGGCACGTCCCTAGTGAAGAAAACCAAGTGCAAGTCGGTAGCAAGCGTCCCAGGGCCAACGGTAGTACGGACAGCTTCAAGGAGGTGGCAGAGACCGTTGAAGATGTCGATGGCCCACCTGCCGAACGTGAGAACCCTGCAAGTAGTCAGGAGCAAGCCGAGAGCGGGAGTGACGGTAGCGAGGAGGAAGACGACGAGGAAAGCAGTGATGATGGGTGCACTTCACCTTCGGATGCAGAAGACGACTTGAAAAGGGTCACATCTTTTCGGGACCAAGTTGCCGATAATGAGCGCTACCGAAAACGAATAAGGGATGCCCATACTCTTCCGCCGCCAGGCTGACGACCTTGCTTAAACCGAAATGCGAGAACACTACGTTCATGCGCTTCTAGCCCAACTTTCGTACGGTTTCAATGTCCAGCATCCTTAAACGTGTTGTATGGAAATGTGAATCATTGTTCATCCGCTTTAAAACCATGATGTTCTCGAGGAACGCCGCGATTCTGCGTCATTGTCGTGCCATACAAAAGCTAGTATAGCTGAGGCAACTAGACACAACAAAATCACAAGCTGGCAATTGCATATTTAACCTAACGACTTCTGATGTGCAACCAGTAGTCAACGCGACCAGTGCAATCCGTTTACGCTCACAAACTGGTCTGGATAGACCTTCATTGTCATGATTGATCTAACTCATATTCCTTTCACCGAAGTTGGGGAAAGTGCCGTCAGCATGCCTCATGGTGCCGTAACTGGCCAAGTAGTTATCACTTTGTATTCATTGCTTGCTAGTTGGCAGTCAACGTCCGTCTGCCGGACTAATCCAACAGGATTTGATCAGATTGCGAGCGTCTATTTGTTGCCGTCGCGACCCCTCCTGCCGCCGTCAGGAAAGGAAGTCCTGCACACAGAATGCGCACTCCTTTAAAAAGCCCGTGGGCAATTGCTCGCCAATTGTAGCGACATATATCAAAGAAGGCATCGCTCGCAAGGATGCTGGATAGTATTCCCGCTGGCTTCGATTTTTGACTGAGACTGTTCACTCTGAGCAGCAACGAAGTCATGAGGTAAAATATGCGGGCTACTGAGCTGGGAGATGATGTATGTTTGCATTTTGCCAGTGACGATCGAAGTGACGTCTCTTTCTCTATATGGGCCTTGCTTTGTGACTGCTCAGACCGTATGCTCCCCTTTTTCCCTGTTCACGTTTGCGAAGATTTGAGTTGTTGCTGGCAAATGACCATTTGTTCTTGTTTTATTTCCTTTACAGCTGGAATTGTACTCTACAGGCTTCGGGGAGCACAAAGGTTGTCTGTAAAATAACGCGCTGTTTTTTTTTTTTTTTTTTTTTTTTTTTTTCATTTGCCCACAAAATCGCTGGACGCAATTCGTAATGTAAACCAGAGATTGAAAAATTCCGGGTTTTACGGATTGACCTCCAGCAGGGTGCCTGCCCGCAACAAACGCAAGTCTGGTACGTCGTTGTGCCGCCCGACGGATCACGTGCACCTGCGCGAATACTCGCTGAACCGAATATTGTCGCTCGCCACAAGGATAGAAAGGTTCCCAGTCGAAAGGGCGGTGTGTTTCGTCTTCCTGACAGGCTGAGGGGGGCGGTTTGGAGAGGACCGCTTTTTAGAAGCTTCTACTTGTCTATCTTTCGCGGTTGCTTCGGCGGCATCTGTGGCAGATCCTGTCGCGCTTTGATCCGTTAATGGACTCTGAAGCGATAGGGGGCGTCCATGACGCATATCGATACGACCCGTGCAGTCTGAGACTCGTTTGTGCTGATGAAAAGAACGGAAACCCCACTTTGTTTTCCTTCAAGACGGGTCGATCCAACACTGCTGTGATCAGGCGGATGTGAAACTCGTGGAAAACTCACGTGCCCCCAGTTTTCGGTATGCTGTGGTGAGTTTTGCCAAGCGCGTTGTTTGAAATTTTTTAGTTGAGAAAATCTGACCAAACTGGCCGCCAAAACACGCGTTTTCGTGACTTAACGGACAACCATACTAAATACTGTATGAGGAAACACGCCGCCGAAACACGCGTTTTCATGACTTTACGGACCTCCTTACAGAGACACCTCACATCTTGGGATAATTTGACTGGGTGGCACATGTTTAGTGCCAGTTGTGCTACCTACTGTAATAGCACTGAAAAAGGAGGTAACAGCCAATAGAAACAACTCCGTCGCCCCAAAAGAAAAAAACTGTGTTTTCGAATCGCAAAAAAGCGATCGCACAGGGAGGGAGAGGGGGTCGTTTGTATCTAACCCACCAAACCGCACACCCCATCCTCCGCCCTTCACTACACGAGTGTGATGTGGTACAGTGGTCCGAGCATCCCAAGTGTCCTGTCCCAAACACGAAACACAAGCACCAGAGGAGACCGCTCCCGCGATGACGCCACGGCCGCCCGGCGTCCAACAGCAAAATCATTGCGTTTCCTGCGCTTACCCGCTGAATGTCGACAGCGACATCTTCGGTGTGCTCTCACGCGTGAAAGGGATGATGTCCCACGTTGGCTACAACGTCGGCCGAGTACTCGTCGAAGATTCCCGTGAGAGCGCCGGCACGAAAACCGTTACTCTGTTGTTAAGACCCTCCAACTTACCGAAGCACTTGTGCGCTAATTCCAACAACTACCCGCGTGAAAGCGGCGCCGGACAAGACCCCAGCCCCGCTTGTCGCTTTTGCCCGAGTTCATGTTCTACTACCTCGTTAGGGAGAGCGCGCGTTTGCCATCACGGTGAGACAACCCATGAAGGTGAAGAGGAGAGCACCCCCTTGTCTGCAAATGCAACAAAATACGACAGTGAGCATGGAAGGAAGCATACCCGAAGAGATTCATCAAAGACAGCAAACAGACTGCCCCACTGGGGCAGGTGCGCCTGCGTCTATGAGGGAACCGTGTATGAGGTAAACTCACTTCTTCAACCCGCGGCCCAACCCAATTTATCTCATTTCTCTCCCCCAGCGCGTGAGACGGACCTCGGTACCGTCTACCACGTGCAACCCACAACTGATCTGGCTTCACAGGATGCCGGCAGACGCGCTATGGGATTGGAAAGGCATAGGGAGGGGCCACAAGAATCCCCTTCCCAGGAAGGAGATCGCCCTGTTCGACGTATGGGAGGGCAAGGGTTTTCCACGCTCTCAAGACCTGCCCCAAACGCATGCGCAAACCAAAACGAGCCCACAGCATCAGGCTTTGCACATGATAAGGGTTCGAACCCTCGCTGGCTCCGCAATGCGGCGCAGGGAGGCAGTTCCGTGAACCCAACGAGTGCAGAAGGTGTCCACTCAGTTCGCCTTACAAACGAATTCCGACCATCTGTAGATACGGCCGCAATGCAATTGGATTTGTCAGATGCGGAGAGGGTGCGAGCATTACGAGAGAGGACAGCAGCATCACAAGCCCCCCGCTCTATGCCTAACCAGGCCCCTGATTCTGGTAATATAGGAAAGAAAAACCCGGCCGCGCCTATCTCTCAGACATTAACTTTCGCGACGACTAAAACGACAGGGCCTGGAGTGGAGGGCGGCGTACCGTCTTGGAGTTGTGACCGGTGCGGGGACAATTTCTCCGTCGAGCTGGAACTCAGAAGGCATCAGTTCATGCAGCATAGGGACGGCAAGGTCACAAAGCGTACAAACGAAGGACGTTTTCTATGTCTGATGCAAACCTGCGAACAAAGCTTCGTTCGGCGGCATGTAATGGAGAGGCATTTCAAGAGTGTACATTTACTTGTGAAGGAATTCCCATGTTCTACCTGCGACAAGAGCTTCGCGGATTCAACAACACGAGCTGCTCATCGCAGTGCAGTGCATGAAAAGCGGAAACCGTATGTTTGCAATCACTGCTCCCGGTGCTTTACTCAGAGTTCGTCTTTGGGGAAGCACCGTCGCCGATTTCATCAGAACCCTCCGTGATCAAAGATTGGAAGCTCTACTCGGACCATTTATTCCCGTTTGTGAATAGTTTTGATGGATATTGGGAGGTATGGTTCTTGCTACGACTTCATGGCGTTTGTCTCAAAACAGTATTGCATTGAGCGCAGTGAAAATAGAGAAGTGCATACGGGGGGTGTTTTCACCATTTGATATTGCTCGCAATGCCTCTTACGCATGAACCTGAGTTCTCCCTTCGGGTTTGAACAGGCGCTCCGCACACACCCCCTTTTTTCGCAAGACTGCGGGTAGCAAGATTTCCGGCGCTATGTCAGCTCGTATCAAACTCGCCCCCGAATGCATTTTGGCAGAAAAAGTTCTTTGATTCTCTATATCCTTTGGAACTGGACAATGCCGAGGAACAATTGCCACCTACTTGCAGAGATTCTTAAAAGAAAGCCGAGCATGTTGCAATCAAAGGGTGGCAAGAGGGACCTGGAATACTTCGTAGCAAATTCGTGACTACGACTTCAATGAAGCCTTATCGTGTGGGTTGGAGATTACCGTTTCACCAGCAAGAGCATCTCTGCCTACCGAGGTGTTGATAAGCCTGTAAAAAGTAGCAACGGCCGTTGAGTCATCCCCCAAAGTGTTTGCAGTGCCCATCCGAGGGTCCGAATGATGAATCGGGGAGCAGATGAGGCAAGAGGAAGAAGGAGGAGAGGTGAGTCGAAGATGCAACTCAATGCATTTGGATAGCTCTCGTGCGAGATTGTATCGCATGCGACAGTTAGTACACTTCTTGAAAAATGAAAGGACCACGTCCGTAATCGCGAAACACATAACAACATCCTCACCCGCAGTACAGTACAGGGGGGGGTCGCGATATAGTGCCATATTTGTTAATGCCAGCTCCGATATAGTGCTACCCTTCTGCGGGTGGCACGAATTTTGAGCCAAAAACGAAGGGTCTCCAGGGAGGCAGTTGGATGGACATGTACTGCCCGAGAGCCGCTGCCGCCGCGGAAAGATATTATGCAGTTGCCAACTCGAATAGAGACTATGGCGGAAAAAGGCAGTGTCGATGATGCAATTGGACATCTGCAAAAGTGTAGGCTGGCATTTATGGCTGCGAAAAAGGAGGAAGTCAATGCAACGGCTCGGCAGCTACTACTAACAGAAATGCTTGATTAGACTTGAGTCTGTAGTGAAGATACAAAGCATGAGTGATGGCGTCCTGCGAGCGGTCTTTCTGAGCAGTGATGCAAGGAAGTGGTTGCAAAAAAGCCGTAAATCTCATTATCTAACAGTGCCTGGTTCGATATAGCGCCGTTTTCGGCCCACTGACACAGGGTAGCACTATATCGCGACCCCCCCCCCTACTGTACTGCGGGTGAGGATGTTGTTATGTGTTTC